TGAATTAAAGACCTCTTGTTTTGTACAACAAATGCAATACAATATTCAATACATAAATGACGTCAACATTACATGACTTTTCATAATTTAAATGTTTACTGAATTTAATTATTAACTATTATTAATATAAATCATTAAATATATATTAAGCGTTGGCTTTAGGTATTAATTAAAAGCCCAAAACTTTAAATCAATTTAAATATATAGTTGTAAACAAATTAATGAAATTTAATACAAATATCCAAACAGTAGTGAATGTGTGGTTAATGTGAGACCCATTGGTTTTGTGGCCAATCAGAGCCAGTGTTTAGGAAATGACAATATTTTCAAATCATTTTAAATTTGAAATTTAAATGATTTTTAATTGTTATTGAATTGAATGACAAAACAATTGAATTGAATGTAAATCTAATGGAAAATAGAGTCGATTTGATTCAACAACTCTTAGAGGCGACAGATTTTCAGTATATTTGCAACACTTTTATAACAATTAACTTATTTTTCACATAAATTCTCTCATTTACAGTGAGTTTCAGAAATTCGTGGACTCTTTGGATGACATCAATGAATACGTTATCAAAAGTGATGACAATTTACTCAATTTATTACACGTTTGTGTCAGTTGTGAAGACCAAGAGTTTGCCGTCCAATGCATTCAATATGTGTTGTCTTTCGTTGACATCGATGTCAACTGTTTGGCCAAAATTGAGTCCAATCTCATGACCGCCGCTCATATAGCCATCCAATGGAAGCACTCAAAGGCGCTGAAGATTGTTATTCATTTCGGGACCGATCTCTTCATCTGTGATTCATATGGAGATACTGTTCAAGAGTACGCCATCCGGAGTGCGGACCCAATCATTATCGATATAATCAAAGAGGGATTTCAGATTTACTTTTCCAGTCAAACCACTTATGGCTTTAAAAATAGTCACAAATCTATAAATAATTGCGAAGAAGACCTGAGAAGTGATGAAGATTTGGATCAAACGGTTATCTATTTTAAAGACGATGACGAAAATTGTGAACCAATTGAAAACTTGTTTGATTCTTTGGGATCAGACAAATCTGACAATACATTGATTTCCAACATATCGTACGAGAAAACAGATTCAATAAAGAGTTATCGTTCGGATGGAAGCGATAAAACAGAGATCTATGTCTACAACGATAGGGACCATAACGTAATGCTCGTCGAAGAGAGATTCGGTGGATGTCTTGAGACACATACTTCTGATCACAAGTTCAATACCACTGATGTTGTATTGAAAGGAAGTGTTAGTATAACTAATGCCGATCAGCAAATCGACGAACTTATAAGACTCATGAGTGACACACAAATTGTGGATCAATTGAGAGCAATGGGTGACTCTCCCGGTCCTGTCGTCAAAACAACGAAACGCTTTTACGCGAACCGTCTGTTGAAGTTAAGGAGAGGTGAGTCTCGTTCGCCGTCTAAGAAGGTGTTCCCACTTCCCGATCACTGCGAAGAACTCAACCGTTTGATTGAAGACACGTTTCCTTTCGACGAATCTCAACGACTGGAACAGCAATTGATGTCGACTTTCGAAAGCGATAAATCCAAACAAAACTATTTCATTTACATTCTCATGGATCCCAATATCACTCAAAACATACCATTGGCCACAAATGGCACAAAGATTTCGGCCAATTCTTGGATCCCATTCGATAAGAATATGTTCATACGATTCGTACGATCGATATTCTATGTCGGGAAAGGACAGGGAAATCGAGTTTACGAACACTTTTACGAATCGCTCAAAACTAAAGACCGCAAAAAACAATCGCCAAAAACGGACCGAATATTAGACATATGGCTGACGAAGAAAGGGGTCATATCTTTGCATTGCTTTCACGGCATTCATTCAAACGAAGCGCTGTTTCGGGAGGCGATGATCATTGAGGCCATCGGTCTCTCGAATCTGACGAATCAGATCTGCGGACAAAAAAAGAAAAATCAATTGAAATGGAATGACAGGAAAATGAGAATATTTGGCTCATTCTTGTTGTATAAGGCGTTCCGGATATACCTCTTGACGGGTGAGCGACAGATTAGGAGACCTGACGTTGACTTTGTATGAAAAAGTGCGGTCAACTAAACCAAGTTTTCGTATACTTAACATTTTTGACAACGAGTTTACGCTATTTTGAGTTTTTATATTTTAAAGTTTTATCTCATGGTTTTATTTGCATTTTTAGTTTAAAAGTTTTTAAAATAATTGTAATGAAAAGCAATTATATATTGAATAAATTTCAAATGAAGTCATTTTAAAATCCAAAACGAATAGAAGTGAAACATATTTGATTGAAATGACACACCATTTGTGCATTAATTTTGTTTTAAATAATATATACAAATAGAAAAACAGGAGTTTATGTGACACCAGAATCAAGCGGTGCTGTTAGGACTGGTTGTTTTGGTGGGAGTCGACGGATCCAATTGCATGATCTGACAGATCCAACGCGAGAAGTCTGTCTTTTCGCTTTCAGACCGCTTTATAAACGAATGACTCTGTGATGGCATTCATATAATAACCATTTTAACGATAATACTTATAAATGTGATATCAATTCATACCATAAGTGAGTTAAGGTCTGCCCTCTCAGCAGCGTTTTTGGTGAGACATCGGTCGACAAAATCCTTGAAATCTGCAGTAAATACCGATTTAGGAACAGTAGGCGGCGGTTCGTTCACTATGTAATCCAGTAATTCAAATATGGAAAGTCTGGGTCCGTCTCCGGCGGCTCCGGAATTATTAAGGATTTGATTCAAATTGTTTGGTCTGAACTTTGCGATTGGACTCAACGAGTGATAGTTCTGAGACGGCGGACAGATTTCGTTGGATTCCGGCTTATATTTGTCGCCAAATATCGACTTTAGCTCTTTCTCATCAGGAGGTGGAACGGGATATCTGCCGATTGCCATCTCTACCAATGACAGACCCAAACTCCATATGTCTGACTGAACCGTATAATGATTTCCCTGAAGTCTTTCAGGCTTTTGATAACAATGTAATCATTGAAATATATATCATAGGAATTGTTACAAACATCAAACCAATACATACAGACATATAAGATCGGGTGCCCACAAACGAGTTGGCCATCGAATCAATCAGTTGTCCGCTAACACCGAAGTCACAAATCTTGATCTCTCCGCGAGAGTTCACTAATATATTCGAAGGCTTAACATCTGAAGAGATTCAATAGGTTTAATGTTGAACAATATAATAGCAAATCGACTGCTGGTATACAAACCCCTGTGCATTATCTGATGCTTTTCCCGCAAATAGCTAAGGCCTTTAGTGACAGCAATGGTAACCTTTCCTAAGATTTGTTCGGGAATTCGATTCGCTTTCTTCAACAACAGGTCTAACGATCCGCCGTTCTATCCGTCCGACAAAAACAGACACCCATTGAGTCAAATGGTCGGCCGTATTGTCAATCATTGAGTGCTTACCATATACTCCATACATATGTTGATCTCTCCATCGCTATAAAAGGCTCCGTAGAAGCCGACGATATGCGGAGAATTGCATTCGTGAAGAACTTTCAGTTCACGTATTATTTGACTCCTTATCGCGGGTTTGACCTCCAAATGGATTAACTGTCAAACAAATGATTCAATTAGTGAGCAAAGCATTGGCGGGAGAGTGGATATGGACTCACTTTGCGGGCCATAACAAAACCACTTGGTTTGTGCATAACTTGTGTGACGACACCGCCATTACCGGCGCCCAAATCACCCAAATTCTCGAAGTCTTCGGCAATCAATTCTCCGACCAATTGTTTCTGTGAGAGGAATACTTCCAATCGCTTCCTCTGCTGTTCATCCAAATCGAGTCCTTCTAACGTCTTGTGAAGCGCTTCTATACTCGTGTCCAATGGCTTACTATTGGAACAAATAGTCATCTCATAAATAATGGATAATTGAATGAATGGATGGATGTATTACTCGAGCGATTGGTCGATGAGATTGTTGTCATTGGTTTGCACTGAAGAGTGCGGAAGCTTTAGATTGAGTTTATTTTTTGCACTCATTTTATCACTCATTTACCATTCAATTCAGATTTGACGGCAATTCACACAATTAAATGACAATATTTTCAGTCACCAAACAAATGGTCCGCAAAGGAGTGAATGGCTAGAAATGGGATGTAATTTACGATATGTTTATCGCGCGATCGGTTATCACGACAACCACTAGTTGTCACACAATTGCCATAAACTAACACTTAATCCAATCATTCACTCAAACTATAACTCAATTCGCGTTCAATGAATACAATGAACACTGCATTCAATGCAAGTGTCGCTCTCATACAGTCGATCCTCGATTAGACATACCATTCAATCCAAAGTATTGTCCATTTCATTGTCCAAAACACATGCAAATGTCGTTCAAACCACTAACACATGCAAACATTTAATCAAAATTATCTCTATTTGTCATAAATAGTGATAATTATCTTCAATGCTAGCCATTGGGAGGATGTGATGGGGAGATAACGGCTTAGACCGTAGATAATAGATATTTGTATAACAAGAGTGTGTGTTATTATATTTGTAGTGCACTGTACTCGCAGTGCAATGGGTTTATAGCTGTGCAGTACTAATAGGCATAATAATAGTGCAATACAGGAGTGAACTGGCAGTAGAGGTATGGCTACTAAAGAGAGCGTTTGAGACGTGAATTGTCTCTTTGGACCAAATTATATGGAAATATCCTGTTTTTAATGATCCCTTCAAAGCATCCAAACTAATGCTTTCTCCACTTTTTGAACTCATTTCCAGTCAATTGTCAAATAGTTTCACTCTTTCAAGGCTTTCAACATTAGTTGATATCGTTATGAATGAGTCATCAATTGGATTGACTGCACAATACATTCACTCCAATCCAGTAGACAATGAGTGAAACCAATTGATAGCACAGACAACTTGACTAATTAGAGTGACCACATGTTCACATTCTATAACACTTTTTAAACTTATTAAACATGTTATGCAATATTTATTAGAATTAATGAAATGACATTTTATTGAATTAAATATTTGATACAAATGTCAATAAATACAAAATTAATGTCAAATATTACTCCACTTCTGTCCGCACTTTTTGAATATACTTGGGATTCAAAGCGATTTCATAATCCATTTGTTTGAGTTTGTCGTCCAATTGAATACATTTTCTCATCTGAAAGATTCAAAAGCAGTTCAATATTGAGGATAGTTTTGAGAGTGAATGAAAGCATACATCGTCTTCGATCTGGCGGTACATAACGGGAGAGTTGTATTTCTCGGGATTGTCTAAGAAGACAACCATTCCGTCTCTTTGATCAATCGATGCAAATATCTCTCCGTCTTCTATCTGTTGGAGAGAAACAAAGGTTATTGGATGTGATGGCAGACAATGGTTTAGTTTACAAACCATATCGAGAATGTGTTTCTCAGCCTGTTTTGCACTCGAGAGCTGAACCTTATTTGCCATATCGTTGAGTGATAGAGTCATAAAAGTTTTGGTCAATCTCTGGATGTTTTTCTTGTGCAGTGATGAAACGCATTGTTTCACTAAACCTATGTTTGTGTCCTTTAAAGTCAATCATATGATTAAGTGATTAAAAAATAGTTAAAATAGGTTTTTAAGCATTTGATTACTCGAGTGAAGACTTCTGTGTATTTGTTAATAACAGCAGTGAGTTCTTCGGCGTTATTGGAAGCGTAAGCGGAGACCAAATCAGTGTAGGGCTGACTCAATGGCTTAATGAAACGGTTCACCACTTGAGATGTGTATTTGGGAAGCGATGGAACTTTGCCATCGAGTATGAGCGCCACCAACACGTACTTCTTGTACGCCTCGAGCATTATATGGCTGACAGCCATCGACGGTGTGGTGAGCGCCACCTGAAAGAAGTAGAGCGAGCGGTCGTAGTTCTTGAGCGCCGCGTATATGATTCCCCCGTAATAGTAGTACAATAGGAAGTACTTCACGTCGTAGTGACCATTCTGTCAACACATCCACACTCTTAATATACTCGTCATATAAGCCATTGTCTGGCAATTGATACCTCTTTACTGATTTCGGTGATATCGATGTCCAGGAAATGGAGCGCAGGTTTGAGACATTTGGCCAAAAGGCAGAGCTGACAGATATCGGCGTGAATTGAGGTCAACTGAGAGCTATGCAACTGGACTTTCGTTATGGCATTACTCAACACCTCTATTCCTCTAATCGCTTGTCTTTGATCCACAAGTCTTTGTGTCAAGAGATGACATAAAGAGGCGACTGTTTGAACAAACATTATCTATAACTCCATGTGTTTGATAGACATGTGTTGAGTGGACTCACAAGTTTCAGGTGAGGCGCGGATCTGTTCGCCATTACAGCCGGCGATGAACTCTTGGATCTGAAGAAAGAGCGACTCGTTCTCGACGTTCGGGAGATTCAGTTTCGCGCATCTGTTCCGGCATTTCATCATTCAATCAAAATGTAATCACAATTTGGTATCAAATGCTTACAGAATAGCCATTATTCCGAGACTGTGTTCCTGAAGATCCAATGTCTGCATCACATCCTCTAAATGGACGCTATTCTTGCTTAAGATGTCGCTATTCTTCACGATATACTCAGACAACTGATCAAAACTGCCTGTCATTCAAACAAATGCATTACTGAAGACATCCAATACACGTTTGCATGCAATCCATGCATACCTTGTGATGAGTAGTTGCGAACCGTCACCACAAACTGTTCCAGAGGTGATGCCATTGTCTTCAGCCGACTCTAAACCTGTTAATACAACTCTTCAATAATAACAGCGATTGCTTTCAATGTCTTTCAAATGGTTAACACATCCAGTCGTACATCAATTATGTCTCACATCTC